AATACAGTGCGGACTACACTGATTCATTCAACAATTCCAAAAACAAACATTTTCAACTTATTAATTAGCTGCCACTCGATCACTGAAAATCAGTTTCATTACATTATATTATTTGTTCCATCGGAGGTTTAGCCACAGAAATTAGTTTTTAAGTGGTACGTGTCTTTCAATTATGGATTTATGGAACTGTAATATTTTAAATAATGGCCACTGAATTGGACTTTTTTGTCAGCTAAATGTGTCTTGAAATAAATAAAACATTAGTTTACGTTTATATTCTCTTCGTCCCCATTGGCGTTGCACGCACTATCGCGTGTCTGGTGACGATTTGTCATGTATACTATTCTGGTTACCATTGATTATTCATTAATTTTACTGACTCTTACTGGTGGACTGTGCTGATTCAGTACAATAAACACAGTGACTTCGCATTATATACTGTAAAACACGTTGAAATAGCTACATGCAATTTTAGCGGATTTGACTCTTAGCATGTCTTGAATTAACAGAATCCTAATTTAGCTAAAATATCTCCATGTGAGAATACATTTTCTGTTAAATAAGCTGCAAAATTGAATTGGCAAAATTACAGATTAGCTAAAATGGCTAAAATAACATGCTAGCTAAAAAGACATGTTTTACAGTATTTCATGGACGTTATTTAACTAGTATATACGTCTGAATTGCTAAAAGATTCAAAGCAAAATAGTGGCTTTTGAAATTGTCGCTTCTTGCACTTCTGAATCACTTGAAAAATACCATAATATAATACAACAAATATAGGAAGTAGCAGTATCTTGTTCTCGTCGCTATCATCACTTTATTTTGATCGTTTTAATTGCATTGACTTTAAGCTCAAGTCGATCTCAAGGAGAGGATGAGCATGCTCAGTACTTTTTATCGAAATTGTGCGTGGATATTCGCAGAGCATTGCACGGGTTGATTTATTTTACTCCACTAATTAATAACTTTTAATAAAAAACTGATTGAAGATAATAATAATGAAAAATAGGGGAAAGCTGTTATGAGCGATAAATATAATATGTAGAAAATGATAATAGGTAATCGTATAGTCATTGGTAATAAGTCTTCAATATAACGTGTTTGACAATGTGCCATTTGTCGGTGAAATATGTGAATCGGGATATTCCACTAAAATCGGGTACACAGCAGGAAACGTCATGTGATATTGTGGGCTAGATGAAGGACTGACGATCTTCGGGTAGGACACGCAGACAATAAGAGTTATTATTATACATCTGTGACCGTAACACCATAGGTTACAGCGTGCCGTAATTTTGCGGTATTTTACGGGATATTTTTATCCTACCATATTAGGAAATGCGAATTCCAAATATGAAATTATTACGTGCGTAAACGTCCTCTATTAATAAAAACAAACATGGCTGCCACCAGAGTTTGACCGGACTCCACGCAAAGAAGTTCGCTGATTCTGTGCTACACATTTTGGATTCGGCATTCCCATAGGATGGAAAAGATGTATAATATTAATGTTATTACGAAGATACCTCAAAGTATGCACTCAGACAGTACGCCGCACATCGACCTTCGCTGCGCGTCGGTCGATACTCCAGCTGTACTGTCCTCGTGCATACTTTGAGGTATCCTCGTAATAACCTCATATTAATACAATGTAAGAATAATAACATTGTTTATTACAGCTTCATAAATAACGTGTATTCAGATATTCAAGACAACGACATCATACACATGATAGCGAGATAAATTACAGTGGTACATTCATATACAACGACTCAATTCTGTTAAAAAAAGGGTTATTTATTATCAAACTCTACCCCCTTTTTTCTGTTCGACCCTCAAACAAAAACTTTTAAAATAATATTATTGTAGTCTGTTCACTTTCCCTGGGGTTGGTCGCTATGGAAATCTTTCTAATTTCCATGAGTGTATTATAATGGGCATTGCAGACGGCTGCAACTTGAGATGATATACAGCCAGGTGGTTTGTTTTTAGGTAATTAAATTTCATTTTTTTTATCCAATTTTCTAATTTGAAAATAAATACAACTCTGTCAATGCATTTAGGTTTTCCAAATTTGCATTTTGCAAATTCAGTTACATAATGTAATTCAGCCTCAGCTGTTACTTGATTTACATAACATTTTTGTATTGTGATGTAATTGGTCTTATTCAGTTCACATTTCTAATAATTTTTCCAACTTAAAATCAGTTTTAAATTTCCTATATTTTTTATCCACGTCTATTTCTATTTATCATGGAATTATGTAATTCAGAAAGTGCTATACTTAAAAAAGGTTATAATAAATTATTTTCAGGAGAACTTTCTCTGAGTTATTTTGAATACTGATATTAATAGTAAATAACGGACCATATGGAATATTGCATACAGGAAGAATATGTTGTTTCCAACAAATTACCATCAGTGAATTTTAACATTGAATTTTATAGAATATCTACCAAGTTCTTCTCCGCATAACGTACGTTTGAACACACAGAGTTTATCGCCACGTTTAGTGTGAAGTATTTCGCCACAGGGAGCCAAGGAACTATAATCAAATGTACGCAGTCTCTATGAGAGCGGTGGGTAGGGGTATCGGCTATTATCTAGTGTAATAAATAGACAAGGGATGAAGGCTCCAGCCATCCCATAATGTCACAGCGGACGAACAACTCCACGTATAGCGGCCGTGTTCCCAAGAGTGGCTCATGACTAGACGGGGACGCCACACGAGTGACTAACTTTAGGCCAAAATGTTCCAAAGGCCAAAGTTTAGTAACTCAGATTTGTCAACGTTTAATATTGTAATACTCCCACATACTCCTGTTTGTGTGTGATTTAAAGTTGATATTACCTCTGTTAGTGGCATCCAACAAGAGAGATGTAAGAACGGTCGTTCAAATCATGCCAAGGAACCGGTCAGCGACCTGTTGGCGGTATACGCTTGGTAGACGATGGGAACATTTCCGGCATGCGCAGAAGGATAAACATTTCTAACTTGTTTGCAGCAGCGGCAAATTTGACCGTGTAAAATCTACTATGCGTTATGTCACACATACACGTGATATGGAATTTAGGAAATGCGTCATATTGAGTCTGCGTATGTGATAAGAAATCAAAACATTTACGGGGGTTTATGTCACCGATACCCCATATCATATGTGATGCATAGCTTTGGTGATCTTGTAAATATAAATCGTAATATTCTGAAATTTATTAACCGAGTTTATAATTAAGATAATTTATATTATTTTGGTCGATTAGAACTCGATACAAGCGTGAAAATTACTTTGATGTTATTAAAGGGCCCGGCGGCAGTCGTCGTGCCGCGTCCTGTTCGATATTACCCCAGACCATTCGTCCCGGTGTTATCGCTATCGCCACACGAGACTCCAGCTTGTCTCCTATACAATTTGACTGCGCACATCCAGAAAGTAGTTGTAGCTGTGATTGGTGGAATACTAATGAGTTGAGTGTCAATCAAACGCCCACGCTATCTTTAGTAAACAAAGTCACGTGACACGCGCCATTTTAGTTTTGGCAGGCGATTTCAAGGCAGCACGCTTAACACTTTCGTTCACAGGTTGGGAGATATTAGAATGACTGACAATTTCACGCCACTGTTTTACATTATTGGCGGATTTTTCTGCGCTATCAATCTTTCTCTTACAAACTAGACTTAGATGAGACGACAGAGTCGCTCCTTTCACAACGTCGCACTGGATCAAATTGGAAAGACGATTTCCATAAGTTATCCCTCCTGCTTTT